CATTTTTGTTTCCAAAAATAGTTTTTTTCTTTTTAGCAAAGACATACTCACACACTCAAACATACACACAAATTGTGAGTTCTAGCATCCTGAGCTATAGAAGAAAGAACTCTGTCAAATATGGTTTGTAACACCATTCAGTCTTTCAGCTTCATTATCTGCACAGCAAGTGACAACAAGAAGCTGTAGAAAGGGTGGCAGGAGGAGCTAAAGCCAAACCCTACAAAAAGATCAAGTTTAGAGACAGTACTATGCCAGACATAAAAGTTTAAAGCCCTCAAGTGGGAGCCAATGTCACAGCACAGTTTACAAACTTTTTGTACTCCAATGTTTTTGTCAGCTTTCTTTTGCTATTATCTACATAAAATCAGAATCTTGGTGTTTTAAAAAGTTGTCTGTTCCTTGTTCTTATTCTCCACTGATTCAAGGGCATTCAGCCATGTGGTTGCAGAAGATATTTCCACATCACAATTATAATAATAATTAGTAAGTTTTCAGGAGGAAAAGGACCAACTTTTAAAGAAAAAAAGAAATTAACAAAGTTGTTTTCTATAACACAGTGTTTGGTGGTAAAAGTAGAAGTATTTTAAGACTGGAAAATAATATGTAATTTTAAAGATATTCATCTAAATAGAACAACTTTTTAAAGAAGTTTCTTAGAAAGCTTTTAATACAACAGGCCTGCTAACATAAGATTCAGCAGCTATTTTAACATTTTCAACTCAACTAGATTTCTTCAACCCAACCAAATGAATTAAATCAGAATTTGAAAGAGAGAATATATAAATCTAGTATGACAAATTAGATTTCACAGCCCAGTTCAGTGATTGCATTAATTTCTAGATCTGGCACTCTCGTGCATCACAACAGAAAAGGATATACCAAATTTAAAGAGTGCCAAGAGAAATCCCACACGAGGGTATACTTTGGCACCACATATCATGCAGCCAACATGTGGAGCGCAAAATTCAAATCACTGTGAGGGAAGATCAGTAAATCTTCTATTTCTTTACACTCACTGATTATGAGAAATAAAGGGTATACGATATGCTAGTTTTAAATATGGGTGGTCTATGTATCACATTTCAAGCAGCTAATTATCTACTGTCTTACTCATATAATGGAAATATTTTTTGTCTCCCAGATATTGCTAAAAATAGCCACAAATACACAAAAGACACCCCTCTCTAAAAAGAAAGCCCAACAAATCACTGTTTTTCTTCAGGAAAGAACAAACCACAGAAGTTATATGCATGTATTCGAAACCATGGACACAGACAGCAATGCGGGGAGGGAGGTGTGTGGGATCGGGAGGAGGGTGTTAATGGGGGGAAAAGGAGAAATTTCTGTACATCTGTAACAAAAATAAATTAATAAAAAAAGAAAAGATAAATTTTAAAAATAAAGAACAATCCATCTTAAGTATTAGGAAAGTAATATAAAGTGTAATATTACTAATATATGTTGCAGAGTCTAAATGACTTGATAAAATAAGGAGTTAAGACTGAGAACAGATGTAAGAGTGTCCATGTAGCTAAATGAAGCTAGTATTAAATGTCTAATAGCCTGTATATAACTTTTAGCATTACAACCCAATGACTTGGATACAAGCACTTAAGGAGATATGAATGTAGTTCATTGTTTGTTGGAAAATACTGACAAAGTTTCAAGTCCTATTGGAGAGCGTTAAAACACTTCTTGGCACTGAACATGAAAAGGATTCTGTTGAGTTGTTCCAAAAAAAGTAACTGGAGTATGACTAGCAAAGCTAGGTGACTTAAATTTGGCCTGAAAAATGCAAATCCCAGGAAAGAAGTTGATTATTAAATTGGTTGTTTCAAATTTCAAAAGTTTATTATGTTGTCATTTATTTGCAAAATAATATCTCAGTTAACTTTAAAATTAAATCAACTATAGTTACTATAAAACAAAATTAAAATTTAGTATCAACAAGAATAATAAAGTCTGTACTCTATTATAATGTTGACAGTAAACTTTGTTAAGCTTTTATTATAGGTTGAGCACTGTTCTAAGAACTTTACATGTATCCTCAAATCCAAATAAGTTGGTACTATATTATATTAGGTGAGGAAACTAACACATAGAACAAGCAAATAATTTACCCAATATCACACATTTGGCAAAGAGCAAGTGTTGGGATTACTAAACCATCTACCACTCTCTTCCTGTCTACTCAGGGACAAAAGGTAGGTGAGGAGTTGAAATTGGCATCCAAGTGTATAAACTACGATTCTATAACTTTTAGAGAAGTTTAAAACTAAGTTCACATGCAGCCTGAATTAAAAAGTGTGTTCAAATGAATGATGCTTACTATTCACTAAATGTTTGTTGAAAGTACTGCATCAAAAGGTAAAATAAAAGACCACTAAACAAGATAATTACACGCTGTGTACTTGCATCATTACCTACACCGAGTAAGATGGAAATATAAAAATTTTACAGTGTATTTTTATTTACCAATATTAAAAGAAATCCCATCCAAAATAGTTTGTGAAAATATGTTGTAATCTTTACAAAACATAAAATAAATTAATGTATAATAGTATTCAATATCAATTTTACATAATAAATAAAGAAGTGGCACCTACATTAGGCAGGTCAATGACTGGAATACAACTTCAAAAGAATAATATTTAATCTGAAATTGTATATTTGCCCCCACAGGATAATCAATGAGAACAGTTTTGAGTTGTTTCCTTAGATTCCTGGGACTTTTATAAGTGAATCTCGGAGCTCATTAGTTATGTGAGGTACTCTGCAAATGGTTCTTCTTAACAGGAACATTTTATTTCGTTAACACTTCTTCTAGCTCCAGAAGTGAAATATTCTGAATTCCATATATCTCTCAAATTACCTTATTAGTTAAATTGGCTGAGTTTCCAACATCAATATACTATTTTAAAGGCATTTTTTAATATAATTTAGAGATAACCTGTTATTATCTCTTTAATTAACAAACTAATGAACAGTCCTAGGTCCACGGCTTTCCGGAAAAAGAAAGACCAAATCTGTGAAAGATTCCAAAATACAAAAAACATAAGTGCAGAACACATCTTCTCTAACAAAAATCACTAACCACAAGAAAATCAAAATTTTATTTCATCTCATCTTCTGAAATGTTTGAAAATATATCCATGTGTAAATGACATAAATGTTTAAGATCTAAAATGTTAATAAAGGTTCCATTGATAAGGGATAAAAATGTAAAAATAATGCTAAATAGTTTAATTATTTAATATATATTGAAGAGATCTTATTACAATAAAACATTACCCTCCTTTGGGTGGCTCTTTTTTTTTTTTTTTTTTTTTTTTTTGCATCTATCTTCAGACAGAGTAGGAGGGAGAGAGGGAGGAAGAGAGAGAAACATCGATGTGAGAGAGACACATCCAGTGGTTGCCACCCACACAACCTCAACCGGGCCAGGACAAACTGCAACTGAGGTACAAGGCCTTAGTGGGAACCGAACCCTGGACTCTCTGGTCCGTGGGCCGACGCTCCAACCACTGAGCCAAACCGGCCAGGGCTGGGTGGCTTTTCTATCTTTTTACTGTGCAACATGTAACAATACTTTGATATAATTAAGGCAATTAGATTTTTATCTACCACTTCAGTGGACACCTTTTTGCTTCTCAGTTAAAAATCTTTGCTTTGTCAGAATATCCAGCACTATTAATAAAGACAGTCTAACTCTAAGACCCAGACTGCTGTGTTTTGTCACCCTCCCTCCAAGATTACTAGAATATACAATGAGCACCTTCCAGTCAAGCTTGCACCTGTGCAAGAAGACATCCTTTCCAGTTCTCTAGTCAAAATAAAGTGCAAAAATATTGTCTAGTGCCCTAACAGTGAGCATATTACCAAAAATAAATAAATACAATTAAAACTGGTCTGTTTCTATCCTATGCGGTGAATGGTACTCTCCACAGTACAAGAAAATTTCGAAGCTTCTTGTGTCTTGCCAAAGGAAAACCGTTTGCCAAATGATGTTCCTGCTGCCATCCCAGCTGGCTTTTCATTTTCCCAAACAGCTTTCTAGTTGTGGCCCTCCTAGGTGTCTAAACGTCACTGAGAATTGAGCCTGCCCCGCCTCCCCATCCCCCTCTCCCCAGTGGTATTTGATGGAGTTCTTGAACTTGACCCACAGGGACACCCTCCTGAAGCGCACTGCACAAAGCATCATGCTGAACGCTTTCTAAATCTTCGACCTCATCCTCTTGTTTCAGGCTATCCCAGGTTTTATTCCCCCGGGGAAGTGGACAACACCCCCCCACACCCACTTTTGTACTTGAGATGCCCAGAAGGAAACACAATCTCAATCTCTCTCTAGTTTCCTCCACCTTCGCAGTCCAAAAACACAGTGCAATTACAGATGACAAGTGGCGCGGGGGAAATCTGAGGTTATCTGGGTCGACGGAAACCTCTTTCCCATCAGCCGCTCTCAAGCCCAGGCCCCTTGAGAGGCTCTTGAGGCACAGTCATCACTTCTCCGGTTGTTCCCGTGAGAAACCACCCATAATTGCACGTCCCTGCGCCAGGCCAGCACTAACAGGAGGTAATCCTGGCGGTTCGCGGCGATACTTCCATGCCAACCTGTCCTCTGGAGAGGAAACACCGAGACTCACATAATTTGATCCCCAGGAGTCCCACAGAAGCGGAGAGAAGGAGAACCCATGCGCCCAGCCAGCTCTCCCAGGCCCCCTTCCTGCCCTCCGCTGTAGAAGGAGCCCAGCGCTTCTAGGTGCAGGGCGGGGGAGAGGGCAAGATTAATAAAGTTAAGAAAGAGGATTGCGTGGGAACTGCGTACTCCCGAGGGACAAAGAGGGAGCTCGAAAAAAGAGAAAGCATAAATCGTGTCTGCTATGTGATGGGGGCGTGCAGGGAGAGCCCCTCGCGCTTACTGATGAACCAGCACTCTCTGGGACACCCTTCCGTCCGGGTTCGGGGACAACCAGGTAATGCGGGGACTGCGAACTTACGGAAGAAAATGTACTCGGTGTAGCTGCTCCAGATCTTGTCGTCGCGGTACTGGTTGACGAAGGCTGCGGTGCCGGAGGAGTTACACGCCACCATGTGGAAGCCGGCCTCGGACAGGCGATCGAACGCCTGCTCCAAGTAGGTGAACTTGAGGTAGAAGCGGGACGTGTACTTCTCGGGCGGGCGGTCAGGGTCGCGGCTCTCGTTGAGCGTGTCCCCGAAGACCTCCTTGGCCAGCGCGATGCGTCCGCACACCATGATGCGCGCCACACGCCGGAACTTGGCGTCCGCCTGGTTGTCGCGCACTGTGGTGTAGGAGCCGCGGTAGCCCAGCGTGAGGAAGCCCGAGCGCTTGTCCGGTGCGCCGCCGCCACCGTGCGCTCCGGAGCCCGAGGGCGCGGCGGCCGCCGCCCCCCGCAGGAGGAGCGCATCGCTGCTGCCCTGCGAGACGTTGTCCTCCAAGTCGCTCTGGCAGCCCTCGTCGTTGAGCGAGTTCTGCTTGGTGACCTTGGGCGATAGCAGCTTGACCAGGTCGGTGAGCTGGAAGTACTCGGCCTCGCGCAGGAGGCGCTCCTTCTCCGGGAAGTGCTCCGGCAGCGCCAGCTGCTTGTCCCGCAGATAATCCAACACGTACCTGAAGAGGAAGCCGTCTCGGTCGATGAAGAAGCGCGCCCGGCTGTCCCTGGGCAGCTCGCCCCGGCGTCGCGCGCCGCCCCGGGGGCTGGAGGGCGAGAACATCGTGGCCAGAGTGCTGTCCGGGACGCTGAGCAGCGTTGAGTGCTTGGTCACATAGACCTGACCTCCCACGTTCAGCTCCACCACCTCGGGGAAGGGCGAGGGCGCGCAGGGCCCCGGGGCGGCGGCTGCCGACGCACCAGGCGAGCTGGACGAGGACACCATCTCGCTAATGGGCAGAATGGTGCTGCCGACGCTGCCCGTGTCCTTCAAAGCCATGGTCCGCCCCGCCGCCGGCCAAGTGACCCGGGAGAGCCGCACTTTCTCGTTCCCGAAGCCGGTGCCCGGCACCCCCGGCGGCCTCTGGCCTTGGCGTGAGCCTGGTGCGCCCTCGGGCCGGGCGGCACGCTCCTCCGGCCGGGGCGGCCCGGTTCAGGGCTCGGGGCAGCAGTGGCGGCCGCGGCGCTCGGGCTCCATCGGGGGAGCGCAGCGCGGGAGAGCAGCTCAGCGGGAACGGCCGTGGAGACGCTAGGAGGAGCGGCTGCTCCTTTGGGGCGTCGGCGGGGAAGTGTTAGAGAGACTTGCAAGAGGCTCTTTCTCGGGCGCTCGCCTCTCCGCGGGGAGGGCGAGAGGAGGGGTCAGAGCAAAGAAAACTCGCCGCCCCAGCAGCTTGCGAGCGCGCCACGAGTCCCGAGCGCGGATGGTGGCGCTAACTACTCCTCGCAGCCTGGGAGGCGGCACTGACGTCAAGCCCTGGCTGGGACCCGAGCCACAGCTGTCATTTAAAGAGATAAGCGCCAGCCGCAGGATGCCGGGCTCCTACACTAGGGGGCGGAGGTAGCCTAGGGCCGAGCCAGGAGAAGATGCTACTTGGATGGGAGCCAAGATTAGCGGGCAGGGAATCTCCGGAAACACAGGAGAAAGGGGCAGTATCTCTCTTTCATTTCATTCCCTCCTTTTGTCCGTCCCTCCCTTCCTCTCGCCTTCTCTCCCTTCACCTTCCTTACTTCCTTGGCCCCTTTTACAACCCTTAAAACTAGTTTTGGGGGGTTTGTGTTTTTTGTCGTTCTGTTTTTTACTCTTGCATTCAAGTGGACTGAAGAGGGAAGGGAAGAAGGGTTGGATTATAAAAGGCCAATTTTATAATCTTTAATTACTATATTGGCCTGAGAGTAGTGATTGCAAAAGGACTAAGTGGGGGTGAATTCCTTATAGTGGTTTTACCATCGATTTTAAAGTGCACGGCTAAATGTCGGAAGGTCTAGTACAATCAAATGTCATGATTACATATTTAACTGCATGTGCTACATCAGTTGCAGAATATTTTTAAACTAAAATCCGAGTTCAGTTCCCAAACCTAATAAAGAATTGTATGTAACGTGATTGTCCTGTCTTTTCAGTATTTGATTCATAGGAGATGCTTAATAAATGTTGATGGAGAAAGGGACAGAGCCAGGGAGGACACAACTCTATCTGTTCCTAGTTTCCAATCCTGATCATCCTTTCATTAATCTCCCCATTTCTCTTTCAGTTCCATAGAGCAAGAGAAATGGCTTATTTTTATTGGTCTTTTAACACCAAGGATCAGGTCACAAATCAAAATAATATGTATTTAAGCTCATCTTAATTTCCATTGTATATAGCACAAGTACAGTCTGCAAGATCAGCATTATTTGTCATACACAGTGAAGATAAAAATGCAAATGAGAATCTTTATCGTGTGGGAGAATCAAACATGCTATCCATCCTTTTGTGTTTATAAATATAAAGAATCATTCATTTATGAAATGCAAAAACAAAGAGAGTATAAATACTGTGACACGAAGTTTCTTAAAATATTATCATAATAATGTAGATGAACCTTATCCATTAAAAGTTAAAATAACCCACAAATTTTATTTTTTTTTAAATTTAATGCCTACTTAGGATGCCTTCTTGAATACATAAAAACTGGATTTGTGATCAAAGTTTTTATAAGTAATACATTATTCTTTGGAGCATTACACACTATATTTAATTCATTGATCCTTATAAGCCACATCCACAGAAAATGTTACAGCAATTTTGAAGTTAGGTTACCTGAGGCAGAGAGAACCTAATGGACCAATGAAAGAACACAATATATTTGCCAAAAGACTAAGACTTAAAACTGAGTTAGTGATAAGCATCTTCATACAATCCTTTTATTTAAGCACATTGTCTCCACCAAAATTATAATCTGATTAGTCAAATTAATAAGTAGAACTGATTTTACCCTTCCTCATTTAAAAGCTAAAATCAGAGTCTGGCCCGTGTAGCTCACTGGTTGAGTGTCAACCCATGCACCAAGAGGTCGCCTGTTCAATTTCTGGTCAGGACACTTGCCCAGGTTGTGGGCCTAATACCCAGTATGGGGCATGCAGGAGGCAGCCAATCAATGTTCTCCCTCATCGATGTTTCTGTCTCTCTCTCCCTCTCACTTTCTCTCTCTCTCTAAAATCAGTAAATGAAAAAAAAAAAAGTTTTAAATAAAAATAAAAAATTTAAAAAAGCTAAAATCAGAAAACATTTGTGGTTTAAAATAATAGTTCCTGGAAAATGAATTAAATGAAGCTTTATAACTTTTATAGATGAATAAATAATAATGCTCAAACTACTACTAATGAAGCCTGTATGTCATGAGGCAAATATTCTTAATGATAAGTGTGGTACAGACAGACAACTGAACTGTAGTAAAGTGGATATATAATAAATATGCATATGTATATATGAATATGAGGTCTCCAATATTATCATAGAAATCTACACTTGAAACCTATATAATTTTACTAATCAATGTCATCTAAATTTAATTTTTAAAAATAACAAAAAAGGCATGGCCAGTTTGGCTCAGCAGTTAGAATGTCAGCCTGCGGACCAGAGAGTCCCCGGTTCAGTTCTCGCTAAGGGCATGAACCTCAGTTGCAGTTTGTCCCCAGCCCAGGTTGGGGTTGTGTGGGGGGCAACCACTTGATGTGTCTCTCTCACATTGATGTTTCTCTCTCTCTCTCTTCCTCTCTCTCTCTCCCTCCGGCTCTATCTGAAGATAAATGCAAAAATGTCCTCAGGTGAGGATAAAAAAACAAAAACAAAACTCAGATCTAAAAGAGAAGCGAATGAAAAAGACACTACTAAAGCAATCATTTTTGGTAAACTGAGTAATCAACAACAACACTAGAATCAGAATCATCTTGCTCTAAGCCACACTTAATGTTCCCTACACAGATATGATCAGAGAGATGGGTTCTTTAAGATCTGTTGTTGTGTAAAGACATCAAACTTCTCTGACTACGAACTTCACTAGATCACTTTATATCCCCAACACATTTTAAAATAATGGTCAAACCTTTGTGTCTCTAAAAGCACCACCAGTTCACCAAAAATGATATAGTCAGTCCAGATTATAACAAATAATTTGTAATTTTAAATAAATTTAATATTTCTTTACTAGATTGAGAGTTGCTTAAAAATAGAAACTATCTTCTTTGATTAGGGGAGGAAGAACAGAGAAGGTAACTGAGATTTAGACTCAGGTAGAACTGAGTTTAAATCATTTTCTCTTACTAGCTTTGTCATTTGAGCAAGTTACTTAACCCTTCTGAACCCATTTTCTCATCGGTACAGTGAAAATAATAAAGACCACAGACCCCTCACTGTGATGATGTCACAACAACAGGATCATTCAAGTTTTATGGAGTGCACTATATTTCTTATGTCTCTTTCATACCATTATTCTGAAGGACGAGAGCAGAGCTACCTCATAACTAGATAAAGCCAATATCCAAATGCTGGTGAGTGATTACAGTAGCTCTATGTGCCTTCCTTCCAATTGTCTCACTCCTAAGGCTTGAGGTAACACTGCCCCACCGTCATGATCATCCCCACACCACCCCCAGCATGTCCTTCCCTGCGATCATTGCTGGCCTCTTTTGTAGCACTTTATCATCTAGACACTGATATAATTTCATTGATTTAATTTACCGTGGTCCTGTTCTTTTTTTCTTTTTTTTTTTTTTTTTTTAGCTTTGTTCAGTATTTGGACTGTGGTCTCACTATCCCTTTTAGTTTGCTGCACTTCTAATTTTCAGAAACTCATCTGGTATCTGTATCTCCTGTACAAGGCACTAGAAAGTTTTGTAAAATAAAACAAACAAGCAAAAAAACCCACCTCAGGTATTTGTAATTAAACAAAAAGCCTCAGATTCTTCCCCATATCAGAAACTCCAGTTTTTAGAGCAGTCTTGTCCTATAAAAATGTGTGAATCATATATATAATTTTAAATTTTTTAGTGGCCACATTAAAAAAAGTAAAAATTAAATAACACTTTATCTTTTTCATATATTTTATTTAGCACAATATATCCAAAATGTTATCATTTCAACACAAATCAGTATAAAAATTATTAATGATGGAATTTAGATATTTTTCATACTAGATCTTCAAAATGTATATGTTTCACACTTATAACACACCTCAATATGGACTAGCCACACTTCACATGCTCAATAGCCACATGTGGCTAGTGGCTACTGTTTTGTACAACACAGCTCTCAAGCATTCATGACTTTTAAATACTTGCTTTGAGAATTAGGCAAGATAACATGTTTTTTAAAAAGATTTTATTGCAGGACTTGTAATGAGAGGAGGCTGAAATTCAGCACTTGAATGGAATGAACACATGGACCTGTGGAAGTATCTAAGCATCTCTCTAGCCAAAAAAAAGAAAAAGCTCTAAAAGAAAGAAAATAACATATACTCTATCAGTGGAAGAACTGCAGTTTCCCTTTCACACCCGCCACACCCCCATAGTGGTGAAATTTGAGTAAGTTTTTCGTTTCATTCTTATGAAAACCAGGCCAAGCCAAGGGTCTATGGCTTCTTGCACAGTAAGAAGTAAAATGTTGTGAGGCTGGTGTGGCTCAGTGGTTGAGCGTTGACCCATGCACTAAGAAGTCGCCGGTTCTATTCCTGGTCAGGACACCTGCACAGGTTGTGGGCCCGATCCCCAGTGCGGGGCATGCAGGAGACAGCCTTTAGATGTTTTCTCTCATCAATGTTTCTCTCTCTATTTCCCCCTCTCTCTAAAATCAATAAAGGAAAAAAAATTGTTAAAAAAAAAAAAAAGAAGTAAAATGTTTGCTGCCAGAGCAGGGCCGACATTGGTAGAAATGACTGAATATAAGATGGAAATGACCATCTACAAGGTTAACAACTGGTGTAGAACCTGGGGAAAGTTGGAAAGCAATGTATAAAAACCAATTCACCTCAAAACTCACATATCAGTTATGAGATTTCTTTTATTTTTCTTTTATTTTTTTACTTTTTCATTTATTAATTTGTTTTTGTTACAGATGAGTCTCAATTTTCCCCCATTGACACCCTTCTCTCCTTCTCCCACCCCATCCCCAGCTTTTTTGTCTATGTTCATTGGTCATGCATACATGCATGCAAGTTCTGTGGTTTATCTCTCCCCACAACAAGTCCCCGCCCTCTGAGACTTGACAGCCTGTACCCCACCTCTATGTCTCTGGGTTAATTTTGTTCATCAGTTTG